CCCCAGGTGCCCTACCAGCCCTCCAGCCCCCGGCAAGTGGCCAACGCCCTGGCGCTGCTGCGGGGCCGCGCCGGGAAGACCGTGGATCTGGGATCCGGAGATGGACGGCTCGTAAGGGCTGGGTCCTGCGGGGATCGGGGTGTCCGGGGTGGGCGACGGGCAGGGAGAGGGCTGGGGAGGGTGATGGGGAGACCCCCAGCCGGCTGCTGCCTGGCTCCTGGCCGCGGTTCAGGGTGGCCCTCCTGGCTACCATCCAGGACCATCCCAGGTGGTCCCAGAGGGATGGTCTTGGACAGCTGTAGGTGGTTCTGGATTGTCCTAGCTGTCCCTAGATATTCCTAGACTGTCCTAGGTGGTCTTAGGTGACCCAACATGGTCCTAGGTGGCTCTAACAGGTGATTCTAGGCAGTCCTCGGTGGTCCAGAGTAGCTCTAGATGGTCGTAGGGGGTCTTGGGCAGCCCTAGAAGACATCACATGCAGGGAGCAGGGTGGGAATGAGGGATGTGGGTGGTCTCCCTGCCTGTGAGCTGGCAGGATGGGGTGAGTGGGGCTGGGCGACAGCCCCTGCCCACCCAAATCCTGCCCCAGCCTCAACACTGAGATGCTTTGGGTTTCAGCCTCCCCCTCTCCCTCTCCAGGTGCTCGAGGCTTACAAGCAGGGGCTGAGGCCAGCCCTGGGCTATGAGCTCAACCCCTGGCTGCTGTCCCTGGCCAACTACCGTGCCTGGAAGGCCGGGTACCATGGGAAGGTGTCCTTCCTGAAGGAGGATCTGTGGAAGGTAACAGCATCCTGAGGGTCTGGATAGGGCCAGAGATCTATTTGCATCTCCAGGATGGATTTGCTGATGGCAGCTTGCTCTTCCCCATCCCATGCTGCTCCTGGGAGGTGGAAAACCATCCTCCTTTCCAGGGGAATGCCAGCTGGGGCAGCCCATGGCCAGTTCTGCTTGGAGCAGCTCTGAGCAGAGAGAATCCATTGGTGAATGTGGGTCTGGGATGGTGCTGGAGGCAGGTGTTTCCCAAGACATGCTGCTTTCACAGCCACACTTTCCCATCCCATGTGTTTTGTGGCATCTTTGCTCCCTCCAAGGTTCCAAAGATCACCCACAAGGTTTGGACGCTCAAACAGTTGTTCCTGCTCTGCCTGTTGCTCGTTATTCCCCTTTTCCTTCTGTTTTAAGGTGAATCTTTCTGACTGCCACAACGTGATTGTGTTCCTGGCCCCCAGCGTGGTGAGTCAGTCCCTCACACCCTGACTTGTTCTGGGCCAGCTCGAGGGGGCTTTTCCTGGGAAAAGAGAGGGGATCTGGGATGGAATAAGGCCAAGTGGGCATCACTGGGGGTGAGTGGTTTGGATTCATAGAATCATCCAGCATTTGGATTCATAGAATCATGGAATTGTTTAGATTGGAAAATCCCTCTGAGGTGGAGTCTTACCATTCCCCCAGCACAGCCAAAGCCACCATTAACCCATGTCCCCAAGTGCCACATCCATGTCTGTTAAAGCCCTGCAGGGGTGGGGACTCCCTGGGCAGCTGTGGCTGACCTCCCTTTCCATGAAGAAATTTTCCCAATATCCAACCTAAACTTCCCCTGCTGTATCTTGAGGCCGTTCCTCTGATCCTGTTGCTCATCACTTGCTCCAAGTCTCAGCCCTATGCTTTGAGGGGTTTGGTTGATGCCCCAGAAGCTGTCCCGTGCTCCCTGGTGGCAGTGTCACTGTGTGACCGTGTCCTGTCCCTGTCCCTGGCTGTGTCTCTCTCCCCAGAAACCTCCCTTGGCCACCAAGCTGCTGGCAGAACTGCCCGACGACGCCCGGGTGGTGGCTGGACGCTTCCCCTTCCCTTCCTGGAGCCCCAGCTGCACCCTGGGGCAGGGGCTGGAGCAGGTCTGGGCCTATGACATGAAGGAGGTGCGGCGAGAAGCGCAGGGCAGCGTCCAGGAAAGCCAGGTCTGACCCCAGCCTCATTAAGCCCGGTTTAACACCAGCCTGGTTAAGCCTGGCATTAAGGGTCAGAGCCACTCCAGCCCTTGGCTCAGCCCAGGACAGAAGTGCTTGGCCAGCATTTGTCCTGGGGACTTGCAGGGTGGCAGTCCTCCATTTATCCAGAGTGTGAGCAGTGCAAGGGAGGAGAAAATCAGACCTAGAAATCATGGGGTTAACACAGGATTTAAGAGATAAAGCTCCAGTGCCTCTTTTTGGATGATTGCTATTTTATTTCTGTTTAATTTATAAAAATAAAGCTCTGCTTGATTGTTCCTCTGAGGTTTTTGCTTTGTCTTTGAGCTGCTGGATGGTCCTGGAGTTGGAGCAGCTGCTGCTCCTGGACTCAGGCTTTGCTCTGCCATCCTTTCCAGCTCGCTTTTGTAAAGGGTCAGTTTGGCCCTGTTTGTTAATTGAATATTCCATTTTCTACCCAAACACAGAGGAAAATGGGGTTTTCCCAGCACAGAGTCTCAGAATCAAGGAATGGGTTGGGTTGGAATGGACCTTGAAGCTCCTCTTGTTCCACCCCTGCCATGGCAGGGACACCTTCCACCATCCCAGGTTGCTCCAAGCCCCATCCAGCCTGGCCTTGGACACTGCCAGGGATCCAGGGACATCCACAGCTTCTCTGGGCACCCTTTCACCACCTTCACAGTAGAAGAGCAGCTCATCCCTTTGTCCAACCCCAGAACAAATCCTGGTCTGAGCCAACCTTGGCTCTGTCTCGTGGGAGCCATGAGGGGAGCGAGGCAGGAGCAGCCCCTGGTCCAGGTCCAGGTCCAAGGAAGTTTTCATCCAGGAAAAAAGTTACAGCAGGAGCAAGAACCTGTCCCCACAAGGCAGCAGTAAAGTCTGGGAGCCTGACCCCCTGCTCAGGGAAGAGCAGAATTCATGCAGCTGACGGATGGCTGGGGACAGACATCACACTTGTCTCATTTCAGTCCTGTGAATTTAAGACCAGGAACACCCACGTGGTTTTGCTGTTCCCAGCTCCCAGCCTGGCAGTCCATAAAACACTGACCTCCCTCGGAGTCTGGGTGTGCCCAGGGCTGTGGCTCCTGGCTGGCACGGCTGGCTCGGGCACCTCGCTGCCCTCCGTGTTCCTCAGCCGCAGGATCTCCTGCTTGTACCTGCAGTGGAAGTGGCACTGGCACTGCCTACGGTCCCCAGGCCACCAGCCATGCCAGGAGCTGAGCCTGGCACGTGGATCCTGCGGCTTTTCCCAAAGAAAAGGCGTTTGTGGGCTCTGCCAGGCAAGGGCAGAGCCTGACCCGAGCCCACGGCGGAGCTGGCTGGGGAGTCACGGCAGGAGCAGGTGGATCATGCCCTGACACACCTGCCCTGCTTGTCCTCTCCCTTCCCTGCTGCTCTCCCTGCTCCAGAGCAGGATCAGCCAGGGAGAGGGAACATAGATCAGAGGCTGCTGGGAGCACTTAGATTAGAATCTGTGAAAAAAAAGAACTCTAAAGGTTTTAGGCTTTAGATTTTTTGTTCCTGTGAAGGCTCCAGGGACACCTCAGAGCCCCTTGCAGGGCCTAAAGGGGCTCCAGGAGAGCTGCAGAGGGACTGGGGACAAGGGATGGAGGGACAGGACACAGGGAATGGCTTCCCAGTGCCAGAGGGCAGGGATGGATGGGATATTGGGAAGGAATTGTTCCCTGGGAGGGTGGGCAGGCCCTGGCACAGGGTGCCCAGAGCAGCTGTGGCTGCCCCTGGATCCCTGCAAGTGTCCAAGGCCAGGCTGGATGGGGTTTGGAGCCATCAGGGCTAGGGGAAAGTGTCCCTGCCCGTGGCAGGGGAACTGGATGAACATTTATGTCACTTCCACCCCAACCCATTCCATGATTCTGATTCCTCCCAAGGATGGGTGAGCATGCAGGGAAGGACACGTGTGGTGGGGAGTGTCTGTCCTGCTGCCCCGTGGCACACGAGGTGGTGGCAGCTGCCTGGAGGAGCAGTGGCACGTCAGCCGTGCTGGCAGCGCTGTGACAGGGCCAGCAGTGGCCACAGAGACGTCACTGGCACCAAGCCTGGAGCTGGAGCACGGGGGGATCCCCCATCTCACCTGGCAAGGTGCTGATCGATGTACCCCTGCAGCTCCACCACCTGCTCCTCTGCCACCACAGCCCGAGTCAGCAGCTGGCTTCTCTCCTGCTCCAGCTCCTCCTGCAGGGGGGAAAAAACACAGGGAAAACATGGAAAGAAAGGGAGATCTGAGATGGCAGTGATGTGGTTCAGCCCCTCTCTGCTGCTTCTGACCACTTCCCCATCACTCCGACCTCTCAGCCACGACATCCCCCTTGTTCTGGCCACAGAGATACATCCCATGAGGGGCTGAGCTTTACATCCCCGGGGAGTGGCGGAGCTCTCCCTCCACCACTTGGCTCCAAGGGGCTGTTCCAGACCTTTACCTGGGTGTTGAGAGTGAATTCCCGGAGCTTCTTCCTGAGCTCTGCCCAGCCCTCCTCATCCAGCTGCCTGCGACAGGAGAGCCCCTTTGGGTCAGGCCCTGACAGCAAATCCAGCCCCTCCACACATCACAGCCCCACATCACAGCCCCACACATCACAGCCCCACATCACAGCCCCACACATCACAGCCCCACACATCACAGCCCCACACATCACACAGCCCCACACATCACACAGCCCCACAGATCACACAGCCCCACACCACCGGTGCCCAGCCCACCCTGATCCCCAGAACTGGAACCTTTCCTCTCCCAGTGCCCAAACTCCAGCACTGTGGAGTCACAGCCCTTCAGCCACCCTGGGCCTGCCCAGCCCAGCCTGGGGCTGCTGCAAACCCCAGCAGCACAGGGAGAGTGCTGAAGCTGCTGCTGTGGGGCTGGATTTGATGGGAACAGGGAGCCACCAGAGCCAAAGGCTGGCGCGTTCTGCTCAGCCAGCACCAGAAGAGGTGAGCTCTCTGCACAGCCCGGCGTGGGAAAGCCCTTCCCACCCTGTCCCAGCCTCCGGGGGGAAAATCCAGGTCACATCTGATGCTTGGGGAATTTGGGCTGTGTGAAGGCAGGAATGCATTGTGCTCCCTCCTGTTCCCTCCAGCTTCCCAGCGCCGAGGTCCCGGCTGGGCTTTCGCGGGAGCCGCAGGAGAAGGGAACAATGAACAGGGAATTGGTGCAGCTGGTAAATCCCCACACGGGAGGTGGAAGGGCTTTGAGGTCCCTCCCAAGCCAACCTGTTCTCTGACAAAGGCCAGAAGCAGCAGGAATTGGAGCTGAAATGCTGCGGGAACACCGTGATTCCCATCTCTAGCTGGAGGAGCACGGATTATCCCAGCAGTATTTGAAGTGTGTGGGGTCTCTTGGCAGTTAAAAAACCCCCTAAATGATGAGATGCATCACTGAAACTCAGGTTCTGGACTTTGCATGCCCTGCTCCTGTGGTGTCTGCCCAAATTACTGCATTTACTCACGGAGCACTGCTATTTTCAGTGTGGAAAACGTGGCAGAGGCTGGTTGAGGCTCAAGTCTGTGCCTGAGCCACCCCTCCAGAGCCCGGGGCTCTGGCACTCACCCACTCCTCAGTGCTGGCATCCGGCTAATGGAATATTTGACATGTTTTCTAGGTGACCATGTCTTTTAAAGGGCTGAAAAAGCCCAGCTCAGGTTTCTCCTGTGCTTTGTTCCACCCCTCCACAGCTCTAGCTGGTTGTTTTAGCAGGATAATGGAGCAGGGGGAAGAGACCCATCAAAATTTAGCAATTTCAGGGTTTGTTGGGAAGCCAGGGAGGCATCAGCACAGTGGCACCACAGGGTTCCAGCCCAACTCCTGAGCTGAGAATGAGGAAAACCAGGACCCATCCCAACTTGGTGGTGCCTCATGGGCCTTTCTCAGGGTGTGATCCACCAAAGCACTTGGGCACATGCTTTACTTCGGCTTTTAAAGAGGTCAGTGAGGCTAAAAACATGATTAAATCAAATATGTGCTTGAGAGCTTTCTTGGATCAAGGCCAGTGGCCAAGTCTCTTCCTGCAGGAAGCGCTGTGCTGAGGGGACAGCTGCCTCTTCCTCCTGGAGCAGGCCCCAGCTGCTCCCTTTCCCTGCTGATTGCTGCTCCAGCCAGGCAAAAAAGATCCTCAATCCACACATTCATGAGAATTTGGAATGACAGATATCCCAAGAAAGAAACAGCACTTACTGCTCCGGAGGCACTGGAAAGGCAGAGGCTCCTTTCAGGTTTTTCTGGAGGCAAAGGAAGAACAGAATTTCTGTACACATGAACCCACTGCAATCCCAGATCCTGCCACTTTCAGAGAAATCCTGTCATGGAATGCGTTAGGCTGGAAGGGACCTTAAGGATGATCCCATTCCATCCCCCCTGCCATGGCAGGGACACCTTCCACCATCCCAGGCTGCTCCAAGCCCCATCCAGCCTGGCCTTGGACACTGCCAGGGATCCAGGGGCAGCCACAGCTTCTCTGGGCACCCTGTGCCAGGGCCTGCCCACCCTCCCAGGGAACAATTCCTTCCTTACATCCAACCTAAATCTCTCCTCTTTTAGTTTAAATTCATTCCCTTTGTCCTGACACTATCTGCACGTGTAAAAAGACATTCTCCCTCTTTTCTGTCAGGCCCCCTGGAAGTGGCACGAGGTATCCCAGCACTCCCACAGCCACCAGCACCATGGCAAGGGAATGATGGGCTGTGCAATCTGAGGGTTTCAGGTCTCCCATCCTCTGAATTTTTAAATAAGTGCATCTTGTGCAAATCAAGACCCACATTTGCCCAGTGGGAGGACATTTCCCCATCCCTGGAAGTGTCCAAGGCCAGGTTGGACAGGGCTTGGAGCAGCCTGGCATAGCAGAAGGTGTCTGCTGATGGCAGGGGTGGAATGAGATGGGATTTAAGGCCCCTTCCAACCCAAACCATTCAGGGATTCCATGGTTCTGTGACATGGTGATGACTTTTGTGTTCCCTGCCTGTCCCAGGCACAGCAAGCCCTCAGGGAGAGGGTGGATGTGGCACCTGGGGACGTGGCTCAGTGGTGGCCTTGGCAGTGCTGGGGGAATGGTTGGACTCCACAATCTGAGGGGGCTTTCCCAACCTAACCAATCCTATAAATGCCTTAAGGAAGGGGCTGAATCTACAGCTCATGAAACTCTTCCCACCAAGCCACAGCTCTCTACCTTCTGCAGTTCCTGGAGCTGCATCTCCAGCTTTGCCTTTTCCTCCCGCAGCCGGTTCAGCTCCCGGGAGCTGTTTGTCAGCAGCTCTGGGTCTGTGATGGAGAAATGGAGCTCGGCAGGGCCACAATCCACGGCACTGCTCCCCAGGGACCGGATCTGCTCCCGCTGCAGCCTGTGAGGAGCACAGGGCTCAGTCCCTGATCATGTTTTGGGTGACATCACTGAGCAGTTCTGCTGCTCCTGAAGGTGCCACTCACTGGGACCTGCTGGTTCTGGCCACCTGCAAAGGATAAGTGGGAGAGTTTCTGAAGGGAGCTTGTCCTAGAGCTATTTGTGGCTTTTATACCACAAGAATTTCTGCTGCTTCCCACAGCCCAAGCTGCCGAGAGAGCTGAGAGCATTGCAGGGACGGGCTGGGAGGTGGAGCTATTTGTGGTACCTCTGCTTTTCCACACCATCCACCGTGGGATCAATCTCTCACCCTGCATTTTAAGTGGGAGGAACATATGTGCAAAGCAGCTCCACGGGGTCCAGAGCACCCTGATGTGCAGCTGGAGGCAGCTCCATCCTGGATTGCCGGGAGCAGGGAGAGAAATGTGCATTCCAGATCCTCTGCTCCGTCTGGGAGCCGTGTTTGTCTCCTTCTAGGGCAGGGGATGGGTGCTGTGGGGCTTTTCCACATGGGCCTGAAGGAGGAGGTGGCTGAGGTTTACCCATAGGCAATCAGCAGGTTCTCGTGCTTCTTGGCCAAGTCCTTCATGCGTCTCTTGTAGCCACGAGCTGCCCGAGCCAGCTGCTCTTCCCGGGACTTGTAGGAAGCTCGGATATCCTTGAGCATGCTCTCCACAAAGTTCTTCATGGCAGCTTGGCCAGCTGGGGCTTTGCTGTGGCCGGTCACGCTGCTGGGTTTGCCGTCCATGTAGTTCTGTAAAAGCACAGAGAGGGAAATCCAGGGGGAATGGCTTCCCACTGCCAGAGGGCAGGGATGGATGGGATATTGGGAAGGAATTGTTCCCTGGGAGGGTGGGCAGACCCTGGCACAGGGTGCCCAGAGAAGCTGTGGCTGCCCCTGGATCCCTGGAAGTGTCCAAGGCCAGGCTGGATGGGGCTTGGAGCAGCCTGGGATAGGGGAAGGTGTCCCTGCCCATGGCAGGGGATGGAACAACATGGGCTTTGAGGTCACTTCCAACCCATTCCATGATTCTGTAGCAGCTTCCCCCTGCACCCAGATTTCCTATATGGCCACACAAAATTGTTGGTGAGCTTCTGCTGGGGCTTTTCTTGGTCAGATTACAGGGATTAAAAAAACCCCTTTTCTTTCTGTATTTACTCAAATTTATTGGCAGCAGCCTACAGGAGGAGGCTGCCAGTCTGGAGAGACCTGAGGGAACAGCTGGAGCTGTGCTGGGGAGGTTCAGGTACTAGGTCAGTTGGGTATCAGGGTTCTTCCCCCAGAGGTGCTGGCACTGCCCAGGCTCCCCAGGGAATGGGCACAGCCCCGAGGCTGCCAGAGCTCCAGGAGTGTTTGGACAATGATCTTGGGGATGCACAGGGTGGGATTGTTGGGGTGTCTGTGCAGGGCCAGGAGCTGGATCCATGATCTTTGTGGATCCCTTCCAGCTCATGATATTCCAGGATTCTGTGGCACCTCCCAGGCCAGGAGAGCCCCGGGCTGGGGGTACCCACCGCCACGTCCCTGATGTACCGCGCCAGCCGGGAGCGATATTCCTCGTTCAGCTCCTTCAGCTGGAGCTGCAGCCGGGAGTTCTCTGCCTCCACCTCCTGGAGCTGGCCCTGGGATGTGAGCAGCACCTGGCACAGCAAACAAAAATCCTGCTGGTCCTCTGGCTGAGCAGTGGGAGCTGAGGGTCTTAATTTCCAGATATTTGGCTTCACTAGAGCTGGAAAGGTCCTGAATTTTCAAAGGAACCCACTGGAAATGTTTATAATCCCTATTCCCTTGCTACCTTCTGTCATTTGCCACCCCCCGCCCCGGTTGATTCCACCAACTCTTTCTGAAAACCAGAGAGCAAAATTCCTCCCACCACCTTTGCAAGCAGCTCTTCCACCACGTGCAGGAGGAAACTGCACGGGGAGAACCTTGGTGTGACAAACTCCCTGGAGAGGGAGAGGTGCTGGAGCACCTGGATTCAAGGCACCCCAGCCCTGGGAGCTCGGGAGGAGCACAGGGCAGGCAGATGGGCTGGAGGGATCCTCACCGCTGATTGTTCCACCAGCCTGCGCCGCCTGTCCCCGACCGTGCAGCAGAGTCCTGCTCCCCTCACCTCCTGCAGCTCCTTCCCCAGCACCAGCCTGGACACACAGGAAGAAATCTGGTTTATTTTAACTGCCCAAACTCCTCCATCCCTGGAAGTGCTCAGGATCAGGCTGGATGGGGCTTGGAACAACTTGTTCTAGCAAAAGGTGTCCTTGCTCATGGCAAGGGGTGGAATGAGGTGGGTTTAAGGTCCCTTCCTTCTGCGAATTCTGGGATTCTGGGATTCTCCATAGGTTCAACACAGGCAGCTTTAGGGAGAAAATCACTTTGGAATGACAGAAATCTCCCAGCAGCAGCTGCCAGCCTCCAAATGTGTGTCACCAGTGCCACAAAATCCCTCTCCACTAAAGGTGAACACCCTCCACGGTTCAGGGGGGTCGAGTCCTGTAGCATCCCCGCTGGGGCAGCCTTTCCTGGGCCATTAACCCCATTCCAAGGAGATGGAAAACCCACTGTGTGGGTAAGGGCTGGGCTGGATTAGTCTCTGGGACGTCACACGTTTGCTGTGTGCCACAGAGTGGATTTTCAAGGTGCCCCTGAACACCACCAACTTTAATCTGACAGCTCTGAGGAGCCTTGAAAACATCAGGTTTTCCCTCCTGCTCCTGCTCCTGCTCCTGCTCCTGCTCCTGCTCCTGCTCCTGCTCCTGCTCCTGCTCCTGCTCCTGCTCCCGTGGATCAAATCCTGCTGCAACAAATCCCACAGACACTTGGCCAAGCAGAGGGACACTCACACTCGCTCCTCCAGCCTCTGCTGCTTCTCATCCTGGGTTTTCTTCAGTTTCTCCAGCTCCACTTTTATGTGATCCTGGTTTCCAAGCAACTGAGGGACAAATGAAGAGGAAGATGATGCAGAAGGACGAGTGAAGAGAGGACAAAGCGAGGAGAACTTCAAGCTGAGTGCTTGTCCAGCTGAGCAGTGACATGCTGGGGGAAGGACTGGTTTAACTGGGAGGGACTGGTGCCCTCTAGCACGGCAGGAAGGGTGTCTGATGCACAGCCAGGGCACGTGGAGGTGCACATGTGTCGCTCTCCCGAGGGAAACGCTCACGTTGAGAGTCAGATTCCCAGCAGGAGCCGGTGGGGGAGCCCAAGCTGGTTGTGCAAGGGCTGCAGATGGGGAGGAGGCAGGGACTGTGCTCTCAGTTTTGGGTGCTTCATCACCCCCAGATTTCTCAAGTGTGAGAAAGAAGGGAAAAAAGTGTCCTCTGCATTTGCTGGCTTCTGAGCTCCTGTCTGTGTTCCCGCTGCCAGGGCATGGACCCAGGGAATCACCTCTGCCCCCCTCATCTCTGCCTGCACATCTGGAGTCCTTCCTGTCTTATTTTGCAATTGCAGAGTTTAAAAAAAGGACTGAAGATGAATCAAGGCATCAGCTGATCCACAAAACTCAAGTTAGCACCAGGAGGTGCCAGCCACAGTTGGAATCGATCCCCCCCCCTGCTTCCCAAGGATCCAGCAGCAGACCCCCGCACACTCACGTTTCTTTCCAGCTCCTGCTGCTCGTGTTCAGAGGCAGCTGCGTCCTCAGGCTGCTTTGGGGAGAGAGGAGAAGAGGCCTGGTAGATCCCTGTTCTCCAAGGGGGTGGTGGAAGGGCAGAGAGTTCCTTACCTTCCCCCTCCGAGCAGAGTGAGGATGTCCCGCTGCTCTCCCTCTTCCCAGCTCGGGGGAGGATTGATGGGCTGAGCCAGGGGAGTGGATGCTCTCTTTGGCCAGGCTGAGCAGCTCCTGGGTCAGCTCCTCATTCCTCATCACCTGCCAGGTCAAACAGGAAGGAAAGAACTTGTGAAGTCCCCCCCTGGTCAGCACATCCCTGCTGCTCCTGGTGTGTGCTCCAGGCACTCCCTCCCCTTCCCAAACCAAGTTTAAGTTTAGTTCTGTCTCCTATGTCCAAAGGTACCGGTGATTTTGTGCTTCTCATGGAAATGCACTCCCGGGCAGCAGGGTTACCCCCATGGAATGTAATCCCTCTGCACATCTCACACCCAAACCCAGATCCCAGTGCCAGCCCCGGGCACAGATCTGCCACCACCTCTGCACGTCTCCAGCTCCCTCCTTACTCCATTTTCACCCTCCATGCGACTTCCCAACACTTCAGGAACATCCTTCCCTATGGAACAGCTTTCAGCAGGGCTGGGCTCCACAGTGCAAGGAGAAAGGCCAAGTCCCCATCCATCCATCCATCCATCCATCCATCCATCCATCCATCCATCCATCATCCATCCATCCATCCATCCATCCATCCATCCATCCATCCATCATCCATCCATCCATCCATCATCCATCCATCCACCCATCCTCCATCCGTCCGTCCGTCCGTCCATCCATCCATCCATCATCCATCCATCATCCATCCATCCATCCATCCATCCATCCATCATCCATCCATCCATCCATCATCCATCCATCCATCCATCCATCCATCA